CCTGAGCAGCAGGCGGCATTTGAGACCCTCAGACAGAAATTGTGCGAGGCGCCAATTCTTACCCTTCCAGAGGGAGTAGAGGAATTTTTAGTCTACTATGACGCTTCAATATCAGGTATGGGAGCGGTTTTGATGCAGCGCAGACATGTGATAGCTTACGCCTCTAGACAGTTGAAGCCTCACGAGGCTAACTATCCGGTGCATGACTTAAAGTTGGGGGCAGTAGTGTTTTCCCTCAAGATATGGAGACATTACCTCTATGGGGCCCGTTGTACCGTTTACATGGATCATAAGACTTTGAGGTACCTCATGGATCAGCCGAATCTGAACACGAGGCAACGTCGATGGTTACACGTGGTAAAGGATTATGATTGTGAGATCCTTTATCATTTGGGCAAGGCCGACGCCCTGACCTGCAAGTCGGTAGCAGCCCCGATCAGGGATATATGTATGAGAATGATAGTGATTACTCCATTGTTGGAGCATATTAGAGAGGCACAGGTTGAGGGCCTGAAGGAGGAGAGGCAGAAGTGTGAGAGGATTGTTGGTCGAGTAGCTTCCTTTGACTATGACAGTCGAGGATTGTTGACCGTTCATGTTAGAGTTTGGGTACCTTACTGGGGCGGAGTATGACAGGTGTTGATGGACGAGGCTCACAAGTATCGGTTCTCCATCCACCCAGGGGCGACGAAGATGTACAGAGATCTTCGACCCAATTATTGGTGGCCCTGCATGAAACGGGACATAGCTTGGTATGTGAAGAGATGCATGACCTGCAGGATGGTCAAGGCGGAACACCAGAGACCCCACGGCAAGATACAGTCATTAGACAACCCCGTGTGGAGTTGGGAGGATATCACTATGGATTTCATCACTAAGCTTCTCAGGACCGCACGTGGAGTTGATCCGATTTGGGTCATAATGGATCGGTTGACCAAGAGCACGCATTTCATACCGATTCAGGAGAGTATATCGGCCGAGAAACTAGCCGATATTGATGTGCGCGAGGTAGTGACATGGAACGGAGTGCCTATATTAGTAGTATCAGATCGAGACGTTCGGTTCACTTACAGGTTTTGGAAGCGGTTTCATGACGAGATAGGGACTCGTCTTCACTTCATCCCTGCTTTCCACCCTCAGACGGATAGGCAGAGCGAGAGAACGATTCAGACTCTCGAGGACATGCTTCGGGTATGTGTTCTAGATTGTGGTGGTAGTTGGGATACGTATCTTCCATTAGCGGAATTTCGTATAACAATAGTTACCAAGCCAGTATTGATCGCCCTCCTTTCGAGATGCTTTACGGGAGGAAGTGTAGGACCCTGATTTGTTGGGGCAAGGTCGGTCAGAGGGTCATCAGGAGCACTGAGGTGGTGCTCAAGACCATAGAATTGATTCCAGCAGGTCCGTAGCAGATTGCAGACTGCGTAGAGTCGGCAGAAGAGTTACGCCAATAGGAGGCGTTCGGACTTGGAGTTTCAGGTGGGTGATATGGACCCTCCTGAAAGTGTCACATTGGAAGGGTGTCATCAGATTCCGGAAGATGGGCAAGCTGGGCCCCAGGTTCATTGGTCCATTTAGGGTTTTGGCCCGGGTGGGTCGGGTTGCCTACCATTTGGATCTTCCATCAGAGCTTAGCCAGATCCACAACACTTTCCACGTCTCACAGTTGCGAAAGTGTTTGTTGGATGAGTCAGCAGTGATACCATTGGAGGATATTTAGGTTGATAGCAGCTTGAATTATATCGAGAGGCCAGTTGCGATCTTAGATCGAAAGACAAAGACCTTGAGAAACAAGGTGGTCCAATTAGTGAAGGTGCAATGGTAGCACCGGAAGGGTTCAGAGTGGACGTGGGAGACTGAGGAAGAGATAACGGAGCACTATCCGGAGTTATATTCAGGATCGGTAGCAGCAGACTTCGAGGACATAGTCTAATATAAGTGGGAGAGAATTGTAACGCCCCATTTCTGGTATGTAATTTAAATAAAGTATTTTTTCTTTCTTAAGAGGTACTCGACGAGTCAATAGCCCAACTCGTCGAGTAGAGGCGGGATTTGCATGCGACTTTAGTAGGAGACTTGACGAGTCTATATCCCGGACTCAGCAAGTTCGCTAGTCTGGATGAAACCCTAAATCCCAGGGTTTGCACCCTATTTAAACGTCATTATAGCCTCCCACCCTAGCCTCCAACACCTTTAGAGCATTTCTCTGTAAAACCCTAGTCCCCATTGTTGAGCTTAAGTGTTTTGTGATAGCTTGGGAGTTGTAGAAGAGAAGGCAGGAAAGAGGATCAATAGAAGAAGAAGGAGATCCAAGAACTAGCTTCCATCTGCTTCATATTCAGGTAATAAAGTTATTACCTTGCTTATTCTTACATTAAACCCTCTTTATTGTTTGTTTATGTCTCTTTTGGAGCCTTATATGATTCAAACTCGAGATTTGAGCTCTCCTTAGGATGGAGACCATAGATCTGGATGTTATTGAGCTCTCGAAACTCAATATGGCTACCTTTATGCAAATATAGCCTTGTTCCAAACCCTAAGTGCTTAGTGTTGGGTGATTTTGATGTTTTAGCCCCATTCACGTGTGCATGCACGTACAGTTGGAAACTTTACGTGCAAAACCAGCCCTAGAAGCCCATATCTATGAATTTGATGCACTGAGACCGACTAGAAGCGACTGTATAACAGTGACATGCATGAGACTTGGCGAGTCCACGTCGTGACTCGACGAGTCCAAGGCAATCTTCTTGCCTCAAGAACAAACTCGACGAGTTGTTCATACAACTCGGCGAGTCACAGTCTGGACGTGTTCATATGATGAAGGAGAACTCGACTGGTTGTTCATACAACTCGGCGAGTCAGATGAAGTTAGATTCGACGTTAACTCAGGAGAAGAACTCATCGAGTTGTTGCCAAACTCGACGAGTTGAAGTGAGTAGAGGATTAGAAAAGGTGTTAGGGACTCAGCGAGTGGGCCGCCCAACTCGGCAAGTTCGGTCAACTGAAAGTTGACTTTGACCAGGAGGTTGAATTTGACCAGGGGTAAATTAGTCATTTTACCCTGAGAACAGTAGTATCTGATTTAGTATCTATGGAATTTGTAGCCGGGGAGTTCCGGAGCAACAGTCAGCCAGTTTCAGATTTAGCATCTCAGCAGCCAGCGTTACGAGGTGAGTTTTCCTTTCAGTAGAAATGGGTCTACGGCCACAATGTCGGCCCATTTAGTTAGCAGTAGTTCCGAACTTTGGTCCGATGCAGTAGCTTAGTGTGCTTGATGTCTTTGTGATTCAAGCATGTCTTTGTATTATGTGTTTCAGACTTCGATCCGATGCAGTATGTGTTATATGTGTTTATGCTAGTAGTTATGTTATGTCATGCTATGTTCAGTTAGTTTCTGGACTTCGGCCCGATGCAGAGGGCAAGGCCCTGGTTAGTTTCGAACTTCGGTCCGATGCAGAGGGCAATGCCCTAGTTAGTTTCCGACTTCGGTCCGATGCAGTTTCCGGACTTCGGTCCGATGCAGAGGGCAAGACCCTGATTTGTTCCGGACTTCAATCCGATGCAGTTTCCGGACTTCGGTCCGATGCAGTGGGCAAGGCCCAGTAGTTGCTTATATGTTATTGCATGGTATGTGGTAGTTTGGATGAGCTCACTAAGCTTTGTGCTTACAGTTTTAGTATCTTGTTTTAGGTATTTCCGCAAGTAAAGGGAAGAGCTCAGGTTGATGGCATGGCACACACCACAGCTTCAGTTTATCCTGGGAGTTTTTATTCGGATGTTTTGATATGTTTTGACATTAGTTGATTTGATACATTCACTTTTACATTTGAGACATGTTATTCGTGGTTTTATTATATGATAATTAACTTCATGGTTTTAGTAATGCTTAAAACAAAAAAATTTGGATTCTATTTTTGGGACGTTTCAATCAGTCTATACATCCAAAACTTGAATCGAGTCGAAACTTCCTCGTGAAAGCCCTAAACCTAATCCAATAAGCTTTAATCACTCAACTTTGGGTTTTGACCTTGAATTCTCGGTTCAAAACTCTTAGTGGACCAAAAACTTCCTTATTGGGCCCTAATAGACCGATAACCTTTCAACTTGGTTCTTTTGGGTCCAGAACTAACATTTGGATCCTAGTTTGGCCGAAATTATTTATGCAATACTATTCTGGGCCGAAAACTCTTAATGGACCTTATTGGGCCGAAAACTCATCCATATGAGCTCATTGGGCCGAATCCATTTCTTTTGGGCCTAGTAGTGGACCGAAATCATTCTTGGGCTCGAGCCAAGCCCAAAGTCTCGAGCTAACCGAAAACCTTAATGGGCTTAGGAGTTCTCAGTTACATTTCAAAAACCCAAACCCAAAAGTCTTTCTTTCTCCCCTCTCCTATTGGGCCGATCGAAATTTATAAAAGAAAAATCGCAAAGGATTAAATTGTGACACCTCACAATTACCTTGCATGTAAACATGCATATTGCACCTGATACATATACGCAAAGATGTGTTAGCCATTAAATAATAACCATCTAATCCCCTGATGGCCGGAAAATTAAATGGTATATACAAAATTCATCCTAAATATAGAGACGGAGTGATCATCTCATATGAGAGGTCAGGGGTTCAAATCTCTATGGGGACATAGGTGGTTATTTAGAAGTAGATTAGTTAGTTTGCCGTTTCAAAAAAAAAAAAGATCGTAGGATAGTGAAACTGTGAGAGACGGCTGGAAAATTAGATTGAGGCATTTACTACAAAAGCAAGTATCGGCGTTGTTCCCTTCGGTTAGAAGAAGAAAGGGTGTGGGTGTTGAAAATAAGTCAAAAATTTACTCCATTTTCAGTCAAACAGTAAGAATAGAGTTTGCAACAACACTAGGCCAGCCAAACCAAAACAATGTACAGAAGAAAAAAAAACACGCCCCTCAACGCACAAACCTCTCACCCTTACATAAAAAACCTTAACATTCCATTCATTCACATGCTACTTTACATTACTCGCCTAGAATTACAGAGAAATTAGATGGATGCATATCCCATGCTCTCTCTGGCCTTTCACAATTCACATTCACAATAAATGAGTTTGAGGTTTCAGCAGTCCCAACTTGGAGTTGCAGCAGCCCTTCCGGTTTGAGGTCCCAAACCGAAACCCTGCTGTCATTCAGTGTATCCACATCGCTTACTTCTCTAATTACACAACTAAAGGCCAACACTTGATACCCCTCCTTTCAATATAATAATAATATAGCAGCTTTCAACACATATCTTGTCACCCATTCGAATCTGATAACAGACTCAGAACCTCATTGTCCCTAAAATTTGATTCAACCGCAAGCTCCAAAGGGGTTTTGCCAGCACCGTTTGCAGCGTGAGGATCAGCCCCTCTGCAAAATTATTTATAGTCTCAAGTAACTGATTGATGGTTGATAGAATTAGAAAGTGTGTAAAAGAAAGGTTACCTTGTAAGAAGCAGCCTTGCAAATGCAGATTTGCCTCTGAGGATACAATGATGGAGTGGTGTCTGGCCTCTTGAATCGGGAACATTTACATTGGCACCATACTGTAAGAGCAGCTCAATCATCCCAATATCTGCAGTTTCACAAGCAAGATGGAGGAGGGTGCAGCCCTCGAACTCATCCATGCCAAGTCCAAGTCCAAGTCCTTGCGCTTCGCTTGTGCCTGCTGCTGCCATTGAAGAGATTGAGATTGAGATTGAATCACCAGGGGGCGTCGCCTGCTCTTGCAACAGCATTGCCTTGGCAAGGGTTAGAGAAGAATTACAGGAATCTTGCATGTAAATGTAGTTCATGTCTGCTTCAAAGTTGACAATCAGACGGTATGCAGCTTTCTTGTCATTAGCACGAACAGCCTCCCATATATGTTGTGTCACTAGACTACGGTCCTTGGGCTTTCGTACGAAAACTTTTAAAGCATACTGCACCCAACAACAAGGGATTTCAATCAGACAACAGATACATACAGCTATAAACTAGAACAAAGATAAAACCTTTGCATGGATGAACTTCTCCTTCACGGCTATGGAATCAGAAGGACTAGGTTTACAGAAATAAAGAAGCTGGGGCTTATCAGAAGAAGACTTGTAAAACCTTCAAAAAAAAAAAAAAATTAAAAATTAAAATGAGAGCACAAAACATAAAGAAGAAATGAAGCAGGGGGGAGCAGGGTGTTTACCCGGTAGGAACCAGTTCCGTCTTATAGGCACCTTTGGACTGTAATAATTCCTCCCAAACCGAATTAGCAAAGGCATTGCCTAAAGACTGAAACAAGGTGATCACAGACGGCTCCCACACTTTGACATCAAGTGTCAATGAGCGTACCTGCAAATATTATTATTATTATTATTTCAATGAATTAGCAGCAGTGATTAGTGAGTGTATGAACCAACCTTTGATATGTGCACACCAAGGTTGCGGTGGACACCAGAACATTCAATGCAGACAACAACTCCTAGATTCAAGCATGCCCAATCGGGGTCGGAGGCACCACAGTCTGCACACCTGTCATTTCCACAAACCCTATGCAGCACGTCTATGGGTTTCTCAGGTTTCAGACCTGATTGCTGCTGCTGCTGATGATGATGATGATGTGAAATTCTTGATAGGCGGCCGGGGTTTGGATAGGCAGGCCTCTCCCTCTCGGATGCATACTCTTCAACAGCTGTGTGATCAAAATCAGAACTTTCAAATGAACTGCTATCACTGGCGGATCGATGATGGCTACTGCCCATAGGACTACCAGATAAACACTGAAAACATAAACACAACTCAAGAGATTTAATTTTAACCACATATTCATGAAATTTCATATGTCTGTTCTGTTGTGTTCCAACTAGATTACTCACCCTCTCAGGAACCTGAGAGCTTAGCAATGACGCAATAACTCCTGTTATCTTCTCTATCCAATCCATCTGATCAAGGGTGCTCTCTGCCTGCAAAGTATAATTTTTTGTGGGGGAAATAATCCTGAAGCAAAACCTGAGGTCGGATTGGTCAGCATCAACCTTTATTGTTGAAGTCAAGAGGTTAACAGTGTGATGAGCAACAGATTTCTCATCATGTACTCCACCTCCACCATGGTGATGATGAGAAGAAAGCCAACGGCTCAGCAGCCCATGACCGAGTTCAGAGCTATTCCTCTGACCAGAGATTTGACTGCCAGAGCCCTGTTGCCGAAAATATAGATATAGATATAAATATATAAATGTAATAACGTATAATAAGTAAAGCAGGCGGACTTACAGATGGTTTGCTGCTTTGTTTGCGGTAGTAGTAGAGCATTCCTCGGCTATCGAGAACAAAAAACCTTCGTTTCCAGTCGCCCCTGAGGTTTGAGGAGCGCTTGGAAAGATATCCTTGGCGGATGGTTTGAACCTTCCCCTTTGAAGCAGACTGCATCACCGCCTCTATCATTTTATGGGAGCTTCTCCCGATGGCTTGAATGCCATCCCCCCCATTTGGAGATCCGTTGGAACCATTTGTATTTGAATTTGAAGACCACCTGCTCTCCCGATCAATCTGTCTTTTGTACTCTTGCATTCTTTCGTTCAGAGCTGCTTGCTCGTAATTTGATCTCTCCCGAGATTGCTGAGCATATGTCAGCACCTGCCCGTTTTGTTTTTTTTTTTTTTATATATTAAAATAAAACATAACATGCATATTCTTCTTTTCTGTATGTCTAATTTCTAATCTCTAAACTAAAATAAATACCAAACCTGATTTATATACGGCTCCATCTGATGCAAAAGCTCGTATCCCTACAACAAGAATAATCCAGACAGACTTAGATTTTAGAAAGCTCCACAAACACACTGCTACTGCTACTGCTACTGCTACTATTGAATTGAATTGAATTGAATTGTTTGCCTGTTTGAAGTAACGGAGATGGGCGTCCATCGTACCGCTCACTGCTTCCAGAAATTCAAATCTCTTTTTTGCTTCAACATTAGAAAGTGCCGTAACCTAAATAATAACAAACCAATGAAATAATTCTTTCATTGTTTAATACTCTAAGTAGCAGAAACAAATAATATACCAACCAGATTAAAGCGAGCTTGCTCAAAAGTAGCCCTTGCATTATGAAGGTCCTGGATATTTGCATGCATTTGTATTGTTAGGATTTTGCAAATTGCAATCACTGGTTTTGAGTTGTATAAATGTTCCATACCTCCTCCAAAACTATAGCTACATCATTCTTGGTGCCTTTCTTCAAGGACAGAAACTTCTCCCGAGCCTGCAGTGCAATATGGATTCTGATTCATTTCTTTTATTTTTCACTCCAACTCCATATTACTTTCTGAAAAACATTAATTAAACCTGACCTGGTCATATAGAAGACTGGCCTTGTCAAACCGCTTACGTGCCTCCTGTACCAACAATCAAATCATTACTAACTGACAATTCAAAAAGTTACCTCACTTCAATTTTCAATTATAAAAGTTGATCTCTAGGCCAAAAAAACAATATCAAGATGATGATATTCTATGTAAATACAATTGTGTTGCATGCATGCTACATGTTACCCAACATAGGATCTATTACAGAAAAAAACAACCCTAGTAGAAGGAAAACAATTTACCTTTACGTCATGCAAATCTATGTTCACAAATTGCAGTAATCGGTCGTTCAGTATATGCTCGACCTGTAAGAGACAGAGTTGTCAAAATCACATTTACAAGTGTCAGTCATGCACAAATCCACTACGGTTCAACACAATTAAAGAATATCAAAACTTTTGATAAATCAAAGTTCCAACTATTTTCATAAAATCCGATAGATAGATATAACACCTATCAGCAAATGATGACTTCAATTACCTGAGATCGAAGAACTTCCTTGTATGTTCCAATCTCCCGTAGTGCAATTGTAAATTTTGTCATCACAGGACCTACAAGTGAGTAGGGATATGAGAAAAATTAACATCGATGACACTGCCAGAACTAGTAATATAAATCAATCATCATAATGTGATGATGAATGGCATGGGCATGATGCCAACAAATTGATTGCCATAACCAAATAGTTTTTAAATTTACCTCCAAATGCGACACTAATCGGATCATTATGTCCTCCGCCAAATGTTTCAAGGGTGCTGGCAAAAGCAATGTCCCCATCATATCCCTCACCAAGCCCTTCGCTGCATGTATGATGTATCATCAACAAAACAGGTTATAATTTATAAATAAAAGCAGCATTGCAATATAAATACAGTATATGATTATATATCCCTTCAGTGTCAAACTCCAAAGGTAAAATCTAGACTGATATGCAACTCATATTTCAATTAACAAAGGATATGAAGGCTTATTGCAAGCTAGACATCAACCAAATAAACATTAGGGAAGATAAACTTCAGCAGTACAAAAGAAAAAAGAAAAAAAAACATTGTTACTGAAACTCACGTATATTTTCTACATCCTTTGTAGAACTTTAAGCTTCTATCCCTCAGCAATTCAGCACTTTCCTCTAAACATTGCATCTGTTACATGAAATTTGGTATTATCATAAGCACAAGACAGCCTTTTGAGCAATGTTTTTAAAACATAAACCTCAAAAAAACTTGATGATGAATAACTAAGTATTGTTATTGTATGTTAGAGATCAGGTTTAAGCTGCATGGCAAAAAAAACAAAGGACTATATGCTGTTTGGAGTGGCCTGCTGTACCCAATTATGTGGCTTTAATCACATCCACATGCAAAATGCACATTGAAATTTAACTTCTTACTACCAGCACAATAGACAATAATAGTATTATGGTACATACTGAACTGATCAGTCATAAATCATAATTCATGTGAAAGCCCTTTCAAAAGAATGGTCCTGCTGCATAACAAATTAACAATTAACATGGCATGCTTCAAAAGGCTTAAGGTTCAGTCCTATTCCATAGACTGTTTGGATGGTTAAAACTATAAACATTGACCACGAAGAAATTTCACATTGGATTTTCTTTCAAGTGCAAAAGCAAAACCAAGATGAGTTCTGGTACAACTTTGCAGTACTTGTCTCAAGTTAAACAGCAAAACGAAAATTGTTGGAAAATCTACAATTTAGGCAAACGGGCCCAGATGCTAAATTCCGCCCAAATTATGACAGCTTCTTACCCTTAAACCCAGGTTATGTTCACATCAACTTAAGACCCTTTTATTTGCAATTTTTCAGTGATCATGTACAACGACCAGCCATGATTCGACCACACATAGGGTTCCATAATACGCGCTCTAACTCGCAAAGCTAAAGTTTTGCCTTTTTTTTGTGTGTGTGGTGGGGAGGATGCTATTTTACCCAAATCCTATTTCATAATTAGATAATTAATTAAGAGGCTTTTCTACTAAATGCGTATGCATATTTTGTTGTAAAATGCAGAGTTCGAAGAAAAAGAGAGAGCTAGGGAAAGATGAAAAAGCAAAAGAAGAATGAAACCTGTTTACGGAACATCGGAGAGTCGTCGAGCTTTGCGAAATGCATGATTGCAGGTTGAGAGATTGGTAGAAGAAAAAAAAATCCAATCTTGTTTCAGACTAGAATGCTTGATCTTTAAAGACTTAAAACACCAACATAATCATGAAAAATCTGTAAAACCCAGAAAAGATCTTTCATTGTCCTCCGATCTCAAAAACTTCATCACCAAAAGCAACCCACTGGATCAGAAATTGAAAGAAGAAAAAAATGAGATTGAAAGCGTAAAAGAGGTTGTCGTTGCTGTAGGTTTGTCGGTACAGAACCCTAAGATGAAAGGAAAAAGTGGGGAAGAAATAAAGAAATGAGAGAAAAAAGCGATGGAAGAGTGGAGTGAAGAAAAACCCTAGAGAAAGTACGGACTGAGAACACACACAGGAATTGAGTTAAATTAGGCGAGATAACAGCCGAATGTTTTTGTTGAAGAATACGAATGAAATCAAACCTCACTACTTAAAAAGAAAAAGGATTCATCGGAATTCCATCAAAAACCTCAATTTGTTGAATCCACACACATTTGATGATTGCGGTTATTATTATCAAATAAAAAAATAAACACAACACAACGCTTTTTTCCACGGTTTTGCTTACTACTTTTCTTTGTATTACTTTTTCCGGTTTATGTCTACCTGGCTGGCCTCTCCCTCTCCTATGTATGGGGTTTTGCATTTGAGCCCCCAATCACCGCTAACAAAAGATAACAAATTTCCTTCATCTTTTTATGTTTCACCATATAATCAAATATAAATTATTTGATTAATGTTGTAATATAAAATAATTTTATATGTGGACATAATTTTATTAAACCTATTTTCATATTTCGATGATACCATCCATGAAACATGTATTGTCTTATTTTGTTTTTGGAATAAAGTGTAAGGAATCAACCAATTAGGTGTTGAAAATAAAAATAAGAGTAAATTACTGAAATCGTCTATGTGATTTGGATTCAATTACATTTTTGATCCCTAACATTTGTTTTGCACTCGGACCATCCTTATAATTTCTTTTTGTTTCGGTTATAGTCCCCGACCGATTTAAAATGACTATACTACCCTTGTATTTTTCTTTTTTAATTAATCTTTTTTATTCATTACAATTAATCAATAAAAGCAAATAGTTTATTAAGAATATGGGCTCTCCATCATACCTTCAAGGCAACAACCCACAAAACCTTAACCTTTCCAATCGGCCTCTCTTCACGATTCCCACCACCATCTCTTTTCTCATGTGCTTCTACTTCGTCTTTCTCGCCGGAAATTCTCGCCAAAAATTGCAGCGGTCGCCATCAAAAACCATCCACCGCCTTATGTATCCCTCTCTTACCATTGAACTCGCTGAAAGATCTAACTTTCCAAACCTTAAGTAACCCTAAGAATCTGATGTGCACCTGAAAGCCTGTCACCGAAAATCGATTTCTTCATGTATTCATCACTTTCATCTTCTTTTCTCAAGTATTGTTATACAATGGGGTTTTGATTTCACACAAAATCGATTATCACTTGGATGTGTTTTAGATTAAGTTTGCATCAGGCTTGCTCGAGTATATTCTGAAGTCAAATTTTCACTTCATCGATCAATTTCTCGCTTGATTTTCTAAAATCGATTTTTCCATCAGGCTTGTTAGATGTGCATCATAGGGTTTTTTTTGGAAAATTGCATCAAGTTTGATTTTGTTTACATCGGGATTGCCTTAGGTTTGTTTTAGGTTTGTATTATGTTTGCTTCAAGTTTGCTTCATTCAAGATTTTTCCGTATTAATTTTGTTGAAATTAAAATCTCGCATCATGTTTGTTTTTCCTAGTTCATCAAATTTTCAAGTTCATGTTTGCTCTTGGTTTCATGATTTGGGTGTCGGTGGTGGTTATTAAGGTTACTGGTGGTGGTGACCAGCATAAAAGAAAGATACGGCAAGTTGGGCAACGCAGTAAGTTACCAACGGTGGTTATAGATTTCACAGGTGCATTTTGAACATGTTAATATATGCGTAATTGTACATTAGCTTAAAGAAGTTGTACCCTTGTTAATCTTATTACATTAAATAGATATATTAATATTAACAATTATAAAAATACATAAAAATATTGATCAAGGGTATTATACTCATTTTAAGTTGATCAAGACCAAAAGCGAAACGAAAACAAACCACATGGACGGTCTGGGTGCAAAACAAACGTTAGGGACCAAACACATACTTTTACCAAAACCACAAGGACGATTTTAGTAATTTACTCTAAAAATAAAATAGTTTTATAGTTATTAGATAGATTTTGAGACGCAATTGATTGATTGATTAGAAAATGGACCATGGACGGGAAGGGAAGATGACTATACCAAATATCAGGGGGCCTTCGCTCATTAAAATGACATAGGTCCACTCTCATAACTCACAGGTCATAGCACAACCCCGTATTATCATTTTCTGTTTTCTATTTTCCATTTTATTAAGAGTAAACCACATGATGTGTACTTTTTGTTCAAGTTTTCAGGCTTGCTTAAACCGTTTCGTCCAACTCAGGCCCGTCCTAAAGAGTGGACGATGGAGGCGACCGGTTTAGGACTCATGCTTTGGAACGGCTCTGGTCCAACCTTAAAAATATTGATAGATCATGTCCTTCTGGTATAAAAAGTTACAGTTTTGATACCTGCTATGCATTGGTAGTTCTCTTTGGATGCTCACAGTGACACTGGCAACCACTGTTTTTTCTGTATGAAGTGTAAATTTTTGGATTTTTTTCTTTTTTCTATTATAAAATTTGTAACCAGAAACACTTACTACATAATATTGCGTCCACCCATGTTGCTACGTATAAAACACTATTAACCCTTACTCATGAGAATACATTTTTTGAAGGTGTCAAATTCAATCAAAGTTTATATATATATATATATATATATATATATATATATATATATATATATATATATATATATATATCAATGTTGTAAAACTCGTTGAGTTGGCCGATTATTCCTCCGAGTGCTTGCTACTCGGCCCCTTACCGAGGTGAGTTACAAAATCCCGAGTACTCCCGATGGGCCCTTACTGAACTGAGTAGTGTTGTAAACCCGGTCAACTCGATGATTAATATATATAATATACTTAATGATTATTATTTAAAATACATACACATGTGATATATATATATATATATATATATATATATATATATATCTTAAATTTTCAGTAATTATTCACAAAGTGAGCCCATTATGTGTTTTTCAGTTTTTGTGTATTCCTATGTCTCTAATTTTGATATCTATTTCAATCAACTTATGATTTTAACTTATGATTTTGATATATATAGTTTTCCTAAAAGTATTTCTACATGAATTACCAAATCTGAGTACTCTCGAGTACTCGCTACTCAGTAGTTGGCCGAACAGGTACCGAGTAACGAGTTCTACAACCTTTATGTGTGTGTGTATATATATATATATATATATAGAGAGAGAGAGTCCGGTTTTGGTGAGGATTCAAAAAATAGTGAGGACTGTGAGGACAATTCTCCACCACTCATTTCGTCAACAACACAAACGTCAAACTCAATACTTGGTCGTGGTGCGTACGCATGCGACACAAGTCCGTGGTAATTAATACAGACTTGATGATTTAATTACATGTGACGAACGTCTATATAACGTCATTTAATTGGGTTTTATTATTTTTTTTTTTGTTTTTTTTACATTTTTATATTTTTTTAATTCAAAAAAATAGCTATGTACTCGGTTTTCATGTTTTTTATTATTTTCGGTTTTTTTCGTTTTCTTTTAAAATTTTTTTAATATATTTACTACATCCTTGAAGATACTAGTATTTTTGTTTATTTTTGTTTATTTTTGTTTTTACTTTTTGAATAACAATTATAAAGTTTTAAATAAGAAGAATATTTATGATCATAATATTTTCCGTTCATACATTTTTTTAATCATATTATATTTGGATCATAAAAACTTTGAATCAAATTATTTGTATTTTGAATCAAATCATTTTTGAATTATATGATTTTGGATCAACAATATATTCAATTAAATAATTTTTTTGTTCAAAAAAAATTGTGGATCATTCTATATTTTGAATCGTTTAATTTTGAATTATAAAATATATAATTAAGGATTATAAAATATTTGAGTCTAAATATTTTTAGACCATAACAAATTAATTATCATAAAAAAGCTGAATAAAAATTTTGAATCATAAATATTTTGAATCATCGTATTTTAGATTATATTATGTTCAACGTTTAAAAAAAAAAAACTAATATTTATTAAAATTAAGAATAAATACTTCAAAAACTTATTTTTGAAAAATTCTTTTTACATATTCACTAATATACTGAGTAGAAGTATCCCTTAAATTTTTATGATTTTTAGATGAATTGTTTTTTGATTTTTTTATAAAAAGAAAAAAAATCAAATTTTCATGATTGTGATCATTTTGTAGTGTAACATCCGGACTTTCAGGTATATTATTGTGTGTTTTATTTTTAAACTTTATGGAGTGACTCGACAAGTTGTGAGCCCAACTCGTCAAGTAGGGTCGAGTTGTTCGTGTCGGATTAATGAATAGACTCGATGAGTCAGAGAGCCGACTCGTCGAGTAGGTGTTGGGCAGAGAAACCCTAATTTCCCGGGGTTGGGGCCTATATAAGGGAACTTATGCCCCTATTTCTGCCTCACCAGCTGCCTAACCCTTCTGTGTGAAACCCTAAGCTAGTGTAGTGAGCAAAGAGAGTCTCCAAGCTAGCCTTGAAGGATTTTAGTGCATCTTTGAGGATGAAGAGGAGTTTATTCAGCAAGGAACAAGAAGGAGTTGTTGGGGTTCAGGCCATTTTGTCTAGAGCTTCAAGAGGAAGGTAAAAAGCTTGAACCCGTCCCCTTTAATTGGTTAGATCTCATGAGTTAAGAAGTTAGGGTTTTCATCATATTATTTGGGACTTCGAGAATACTAAGTTATATAGAGGTTTAAACCTCAGATCTGGACCTTGTGAGGTCCCTAGAGCCCAAAAGTCCCAACTTTATTCATCCATATGAGAAGTATAGTGTTTAACACCTTATGAGAACATGTATTGGTAGTTTGGAGCAAAACCATCATGCATGAGTGTAAAAGATCGAAGCTTTACATAACAATCGAGTCTTAGGATGGTATATCTAGTGTTTGGAGTGATAGATCTACCTTAAATCGTATGAATGAGAAATAAGATCGAAGGGGTTCGCCAGTCCATGGCCTGACTCAACGAGTCAGTGAGGGTTTGTCCCAGTGAGCTTGATTGTGCGATAACTTGGCGAGTTGGGGGTCAACTCGACGAGTTGAGTTGGACTTTCTTGAGACTTCTGAGGAAACAAGGGGACTCGACGAGTCGCAAGAGTGCACTCGACGAGTCAGGTCAAACATAAACTGTTGACTCGAGTTTGACTTTTGTTGACTTTAGGGTTTGGTCAACATGAGTATTAGAGACCATGGAGGAGTAAAATGGTATTTTACCCAATTCAAGAGTTAGAGAGAGAAGAATAAAATTTGGTTACTTAGAGTCGAGAATCAAGTATTAATTAGAGATGTGTACCATATGTGTCAAGCGGTGGCTAATTCAAGATTCGAGTTCGAGGATAATTGCTTGCTTGCTTGCAAGGTGAGTCTTCTCACTATACTTTACCTAGAGTGGTATTTATGTGTGACCAGAGGGTCTTATGTGCTTACTTGAGTTATGCATTTGTTTGTGTGATATATATATATATATATATA